TCGCCGCCCCGGAGACCGCTGCCCCGGCGCACGGTGGGGTGCTCCCAGCGGCCCTGGTGCCTCAGCCGCTTGCTGGTGGCGCTTGGAAGAGCTGGGAAGCAGCCAAAAGGTGCAGAAAGACACTAGCTGACTCCCTTAGCTCAGGTAACGAGGAGCGGCTTGTGCGAGGTAATGGGGGACGAGAACTCTCTGTGGGTAGCTGGGGGTGTGCCCAGGGCTTGGTGGGTTGTTCACAGGGCCGGCAGCAGTAGGTAGCTTCAACTCGGGGCAGCCCTGCTCAAACTGCGCTGGCTTTGCAAGGGGACAGTTACACGTATCTGCACTTGGTTGTTGGATGGGTTTGGTCGCTCGTACTGGAGCTTGTGCCGACAGGGCCGAGAGGATGTGTTTGGGCTTGGCAGGGCCGTGATCACTTGGGCTTCACAAGCTGTGTTGGACCCAGGTTGGCTCTGCTGGACGTTCTTGGTTCTGGGAATGCTGCGCAGAGTTGCTGAAGCTTTATGTGGAGCCAGCTCAAGCACAGCATGCCTTATGAATTTGGTTTCTGCACCGCATGGTGTGACTAAATTGTTTCCAGACTAGAGCTAGTCCTTGAGCTGTAGTAATTCAGATGGAGCGTTGTACAAAAAAGTCTTGGTGGACTTTGTTTTGGTATGGAGCTAGCTCTGCTTCTGCTATGATGCGCTTAATATGCAGTGTAGTAACTTCCGACTGGTAACTGAAAGTCAGCCATACTGATTAAGATAAGATTTTTACGATTATCATTATCTGCCGCTGTTGTTTGGTTTCCTTCAGTTTTTTCTGTTGTGGATTATCTTAAATTCACAATAATGAATAAGATAAGTTTTCTTGAGAATCATGGCAATTCACATGCCTCAAGTCACTGTTTTCATAATAAGCTACTTTTAAAAATGCATGAAGATAGTGGCTTCCTCAACCTGCAAAACTACTGACCTATCAGACTGTACCTATCATGTTTTGGGTTTTTTCTTATCACCTCATGGTGTGATACTTCTTACTTGTGCAGTTCCGCAATCCGATTTTTGCCAGGCAAACAGTGATATGCAGGTACGTTCTCTCTGCTCTATGTCTAAAGGTAGCTGAGGTTAAGGTCTAGCAGTTTACAAGCCATCGGAATTACTGCACAGTGCTTTTCTGCAGCTTTCGCCTCCCTCTCAGCTCTTCCATGCAACCTCAGCAGCAGCTGTGGCACCTTAGTAACGGTGTATTGTTGGGCTGTGTGACAGATTTGATTGAAAAACTGTCACTTCCCCATCACAG